AGAGACAGAGACAGTTACAGGCAAAGTGAACAGCGTTGGCAAAGGGGCTGGGGCTGATCTGGGATTGGAGCTGAATCCCAGTGTTTGGAGAGTCATGGAGCCAGTTCATGAAAGTCACGGCAAGAAGGAGCCACAAGGCTTAGAGTGGCATCCAGGCAGGAGAAAGCATAGGGACTAAGATCAGGGGGTATCTGTGGAGACCGACAGGAGGACACAGGGAAGAAGTGGGGCCTGTAGTGGTCTGAAATTAAATTCCAAGACTGAGCGAATTCTCCCAAAAATGTATGTGCCCCTTGCTGGAAGGGTCCCTCTTCAGCTTTGGGAGAGATATGTGGAGACACTTTAGAAAGGACTGTCAAGGTCAGTGCTCCAGGGGACACCACAGTAGGCACTGGGCCCAGAGGGCAGTAGCAGGGGCCTGAGTGCCAGGAACTGAGAGTGAATACACAAGAAAAGGCACTGGAGGTGAAGCCCTGGTCCAGGGAGGTGGCCCTGAGAATTCTAGCAGCTTGTCCCCAGCTAGGCTTGACTCAGGGACCCTGCCAAACTTGCGCTTCAGGTGCTTCCTGTTTTTATTAATATCACTATTAGTAATGAGAATTGCTGTCAATATTAGCACATGCATGTGGATTCCAGAACTCTGAGGCAAGGCCTGGTTCTCCTCTTGCTTCTCTATTTGTTTTCTGGGCTCCTTGTCTCTTCCCCCAGATGGTGAGCCACCTTTAAATCCAATCCCAAGGCTTTGTTCTTCTCGCTCCATCCCTGGACCTCTCTTTGCCTCAGCCTCTACCCTGAACTCTGTGTGTTGGACCTTTCCTCCAGAACTGTACTCTTATAAAGATGAAATTATATTTTGAGAACTGGAGGCTTGAGGATCAACCACTTACAGAGCCCATACATGTACCAGGTTCTGTAACAAGCACTTCACCCAAAATAGTCCTAAAACTATTCCATTTTACAGATGAAGAAATCAAGACTTTGGAAGCTTATGAAATAAATATGAACTCAGATCTTTCTGATTCCAAAACTGTGTTCTTTTCCTTTGCATATGTGATCATAACTAACTCACAAATATTCATTACAAATTTTCTTCCTCCCTCTTTTCCTCTTTCTCCCCCAGACACCCACATGGGCCCACCACCACGTCAACATCAGCCTCTATAAAATAAGCTTGGTTGTTTTGCCCCATCTTCCTCTACTCTACTTCCTGCCTTGTCAAGGGCTTTAGTCTCCTCCCTCACGTTCAGTGTCCCATCCTTCCTGTACTTCCAAAATGCATCCAAGGAGCCTGCTGAGGGCATTGGCTAGAGAGGGGTGCTAGAAGGTTATCTTTTCTACTACCCACTGGCAGGCACAGTAACCATGCCCAAGTTCTTCCAGGTTTCCAAGGCAGTCATTTGTCTCCCCTTGCCTGCATGGTGCATGTCTCTCTACATTCTCCTCCTTTAGCACTTTCTTCCTAATCTAACTACAAGGAACTGAATGGAATCACCAGGAATGAAATGATTACTCCAGATACACTGGTTGGGTGCAATATAAACTCCAGAGCAAAGGTGTCCCAGGCTCTCACCAGGAGGCTCCCCTGGGAAGCACATGGAGCAGAGCTAAAGTTCAGATCCAGTTCCTGGCCTCCAGATCAGTGACTAGGTAATTCTTTTGAGAACCTTTGTTTCCTGTGAGGCAGGAAAAAATATTCATCCCTCCCCAGACTCACCCCAGTCTGACTTGGGCCTAGAGTAACTGCAATGTAATTGAGCAGAATGCATGCTAATAGTTACTCTAATAGAAGCACATAAAAGGAAAGTCACTGGAACTTCTTACTACTCATGGTCTTGAGAAATTAGGGCTTAAGAGAAGATGACTAAAGGATGACTTCCTAAGACCTGAGGAAGAGACCAGATAAGGAACTGAGGAAGGACTCAGAATGTCTCTTGAATACACTTTCCAGGGCCAAATGCCAAGTTAGGTTTCTGGTGGTTACCAAGGACATGTAAATTATCTAAATAATTTTTCAGTGACTGTAGGAACCAGAATTCAGCTCCTATAAGGCTGGGGAGAGACACAAAAGGCAAAACTGGAAAGAAGAATGGTGACAACTGACTTTGTGTTGTTTGTGTCTCTATGGAAAAACAGCAAAATCAGGACTGTATTTGACAACCCCTCTCCTGTTGCAGCATGTGTGTGCACAGCCTTCTGCTGGCCTGGTGACATGGTCTTAGTTTTGCAAGCCAGTTGTTAAATACAGCCATTATTAAAAATTCAATTATAAAAAAATTAAATTATATAAATTTACGGTTATGGTATAAAAAACAAAAAACATCAGCACTCAAAACACATCACTCCCTAATTATCTTACTGTCTCAGCTCTTGAGGTTCTTGACCTTAAAGGTATCTGCACCGTGGAAATACTCTACAATGGGTGCCACCGCTCATTCTCCCAACTCCACACCAAGGACATCATGTCAGTAGCTTACAATCAGCCATGGTGGGAGAACTTACGTCACAGAAATGGCAAATGCTAGGTTCTCCTGCCTCCTACCCACCCCTGCCCCGCACTCAAAGCCACTGTGAAACATTCACCAGCACCAGCATTCCCCTCCAACTCTGCCAAGGTTTCATGCAGGAGAAATGACAAAACACCAAGGAGTCCCTAGAGCAAAATCCTAGGAGAAAAAGCTTCTCTCCCTCCTCATCTAGCAGAGGTGACTGTGGTGATGGTGACTGCCATCCAGCTTGGGATGGGGGCACTTCCTTGGCTTCCCTGGTGAGTCACCCTAACAAGAAGTTCTTTCCAGCATCTCTAAAATCTCTTACTGTTTTTTAATGAGCTTTTCTTGCCACAGCCTCGCTTTAAAACCTAACTTGGCATTTGGCCCTGGGAAATGTGTTCAAGAGACATTCAGAGTCCTTCCTCAGTTCCTTATCTAGTCTCTTCTCCAGGTCTTAGGAAGTCATCCTCTAGTCATCTTCTCTTAAGCCCCAATTTCTCAAGACCATGAGTGGTATGGAGTCCCAGTGACTTTAAATGAAGTGCTGTGTGAGCATGGCTCCCTGGTTCCTGGAATGCGGAAGGTGATGTCATTCAACACAACCTGTATATAGGGCCAGCAGGCTGCCTCCAAACTGGGAGAGCCCTCCCCAAGTCATCCAATTCAGTTCCCTGCCTTGGGGCAAAGGAGTGCCAGGCCCAGTGTCCTATTAAAGATCTACCTAACAAGTCATCTTATAGGTGCTTATAAATGTGTGCAAATAAATGAAGGGATGGACGGTTTCTGCAATTCTCTCCTCCCCCTCACTATTTAATCCCTCACTGCCTGTATCCCCACCCATCCCCAAGAACTCCCTACTTCCTCACCTCATACCCAAGACATTTGTCCCTGGCTCCTTCTGTCCCACCACTGACTACATTTTTCCCCCAGTTCTATCAAAGCAGAGCCAGCAATGCTATCACCATTTTGCAAATACCCAAGCCAATTGGAAATGGCTTCCTAGTTATTTATAACCAAGCAGGGTTTCCAGCCTTCCTCGGTTAAGAAACTTGAAGCCCAGGTACTTTGAGGTCCACCTATACCCCATACTTCATGTGGCCCCAGGGTAGAAGCAGGAAGAATTAGGAATCCCAGCTTCTCCTGAAGGGAAAAAGAGACGAAGAAAGAAGGAAGTGCTTGGGCTTTCACCAGGCAGGTGGCTGGGCAGAGGTAGGTAAAACGACATGAACCCGAAGTATCATGCTCTTCAGAAGACCCTCAATCCCTAGGCCAGACAGGGATTGCAGTTGTGTGCCTGTTACAGCCATCCTGTATGGAATACAACCACTTGGTCCACTAGAGGCAGCGGAATTGGAAATGTGATATTTAGGGCTCCCTAAGAGTAGAACTTGGACCAAAGGATAAAAGCTCTATGAGGACCAAAATTGAATTCAATAAGAGGAGCATATGTCTAATAGTCAGAGGCCGAATGGACTGCATTGGGAGGTAGGACGATTGCATTTCTGGAGGTATTCAAGAAAAGGTTAAAATAGCCTTTGCCAGGAATGTTATGGAAAGAATTCAAATATCAGAGAAACAGCCTGATGTCTTAGAGTCAAACATGCCCGATCAAAACCTGAATTATTACCTGCGTAGGCTTGGTCAACATACCTAATCCCTCTGAGCCTCAGTTTCTTCACCCATGTAATGAGATAGCACACAGCCTCATAGAACTTAAAGTAAGGATTAAATAAGACTAAACATCAGAAAGCACCTAGCACTTAGAGGGTGCCCAATAAATGTCAATCCCCTTTCCATTAATAGGGGAACTAGATTAGATGACCTTGAAGGTCTTTCTACCCCCAGAATATGAGTCTGAAACCCTTCCTGGCTGTTGAGAAGGAACGCATGCATCTGGGAGAGATAAGGAGGTCAGGGTTGAGTAGATGAGGGCAGAAGAAAGGATGCTAAAATGGTCTGGGATCGTTCAGAGGGGTCATCCCTGCCAGTCCTTAATTTGCCCCCTCAGGCCTTCTGGAATAAAAGAGGGAAAAAAAATTCTGGGTTTAAGATCCAATCGTAGGGGTTCCAGTTTCCCCATCTGTGTAATGAAAGAGTAGGATTACACGGCCCCTTCCAGCTCTGACTGCTATCCATCTAAGGAAGAAATGTGGCAGGAACGATGGGAGACAACAGAGAGCAACGTTCTTCATCCCCGAGCAGAGTCTCCCCCGCAACCCCACACCCAACTCTCCGTGGAACCATAGCCACCTGTCTCGGGTCTTACAGTTTATTGTGCTAACACTTCCGCCTCAGAGCTCAGATCTCACACACAGAACAGTTCAGTCCGGAACCCTACCCGCCCCAGGCCCGGGGCCCTCTGCCTTGGCTGGGGACACCGGGCTTATGGCCTCACCAGCTCTCCGACACGTCCTCCTCGCTCTCCTGGAGCCTCGGGGCCCAGGGAAGGCGAAGAAGGCTCCGGGTAGCCTTTCTCTGCCCGCCCCCGCCCCCTCCCATTTTGGGGAGAAGGCTCTGCCTCTTCACTCATTTTCCAAGGGAAATGCTGTCAGCCCACAGCCTTCGGGCAGCCTGGGGCAGGCAGGGTGGGCGCAGTCCGAGCGTGTCCCCGGCCATGTGCAAAGAGCCCGCACCCTCCTCCGGCCCGGGCGCAGCCCGGCGGGCACGCGTGCTCACACCAACAACCCGTCCTTGCCCGGCAGCGACCCCTGAGTGCAGTCAGCGGGCTCGGCGCTCGTGACCTTGACGTAGACCGGGGAGGAGCCCGCTTCGCAGGCGGCCGAGGTGCGGGGCGCCAGGGCCACGTCCTCTGGGCCGCCGCTGGGCGGAGGCGCGTACTTGCGGCGCAGGGAGCGGCTGACGGTCTGTGTCGGGTACCCCAGCAGGTGGGTGACGCGGCTGCCGCGCCCGCTGGCCTTATACCCCGGCGCCATGGCGTCCTCTCTGTGGAGACAACAGGCGGGCGTGTGAGCCGGCTCCTCGGCGTCACTGAGTGCGCCCGACCTGGCAGAGCCGGGACTCTTGGCCACCTCTCGGCTCCCTCTCCCGGCGCCTCCCTGTCCCGGCCCCTCGCCTTGCTCGCTCAGCCTCCACCTATTCTCTTCTCTGCCTTTTCCTGGGCCGGCGACCCCCCAGCGGTCCCGGGTCATCTCATCCTCTAGACAGGGCTTGTCCACACGTGTCCGGACAGCCCACGGCCAGCAGCCCCATCTAGGCGCTCTCCAGTCCCCTTCTGGTTTTTTCCCAGAACCACTGGCTTTAATAGGAAGGCAACCTTGAGGATCCAGGAGCTGCTTTCCTGGTCCTTGTTTCCTTAACTAACCCTGACCTTGCCCTCTCTCCTTCTCTTATCCTCACCTCCTGCCCCTCGATCTTCATCCTTTCCTCCATCCCCAGGGCACTGCAGTCATCAGCACTACTAGTCTTGTTCTATTTTTATTTCTAGTTTGTTTCTAATAAGTTATTAGCACTATTCTTATTAACTCTTAAATATATCCAGAGTTTTCTCCGCGCAATACAAGGGAAAGGTGGAAAATTACAGGTCCTGCTCTTCAGGAGCTTACAGTCTAGACAAGTCAGAGAGGGGTGCACAGACGGATGGGAGATGGGAGCAGGGGAGCAGAGCTGAAGACTGGGCATGGGAAGGGAGAGAGAGAAAAGCCATGCGACGAGTGGCAAGTCGACATGCTGCGATCCCAGCACTCCCAGCGATGGTGAGCAGGTTTGGGGTGGCAGGTGGGGGTGAGGAGGGGCAGGGCACCGGTTGCCTGTCTCACAGCAGTATGCAGCATGCAACAGATTTTACCTGATCTCATTAGCCAAGTCGCCACAGGCCCCTCCGCTGACCCCGCCGCCGTTGCTGTAGCCAAAGGCACTGCGGGTACCACAGCCAGCCCCAGCTCCCCCGCAGCAGCAGCAGATGAGCCCCCAGATGCCCACCAGCAGGCAGCACAGTGCGAGCAAAGAGCCCAGCACTGCACCGATGATCATGCCTACACGCCGGGAGTCTGTAAAGGAAAGGAGAGACCAGTCAAGCTTCTGAAGCCTGGAAGGTGCCTGGCTAACCAGGAGGTGCCAGGGCAGAGCATCTGTGGGAAAGGGAGGCTCAGGGCCCTGGGTCAACCAGTAGGGAAGACATGGGGAGATGCAAGTTAACCCTTTATGTTTGCATATTACTCCCAGGGCTTTCCAGCTGCCCTAGGCAGAGACCTATGCTTAATGCAAAGGGTGGGCAAAGCTAGCTGGGCTCCAAAACACAGCCCAGTTTCCTCCAGTCCCATCCGCCCCACTACAGGGCCCCCAGGGCCACTGCACCTACCTGAGACCTTCACCTCCACCACACATACACTGTAGCCCACATGATTGGCCACTGTGCACTGATACAGCCCATCATCCTCACGGGAGACGTCCTTCAACATCAGGTCGCCATTGTTCAACAGACCTGAACGTAAAGGAGCAGCTGTAGTAAGACAAAGGGACCTGGTGTCTGAGAGCAGCACCCCCAGCCTCTGCCACTGTGAGGTAGGGGATAAAAGGAGGGACAGTGTGTGCACATATACACCCAGGTCCACCATATTCCAGATGAGTCACCTTTCCCCTGCTGAAACAGGCAAAGAAGGACACCTCTGCCAGTAACAGGTCAGAGACACCATTAATTTACTCTGTGACCTTAGGGAAATATACACCTCTCTGAGTCTTGGTCTCCTCCTTTGTACAGTGAAGATTGGGTTAGACTAGAGAAATTCTAAGGCTCCTTCCAGCTCTGATCATCTTCGTTGGATTGTGAGTACTAGCCAGTTTCTCTGTGTGCTGGTAGCTTTGCATACCTTACACTATTTAATTCTCACAGGCCCCTGGAAGTTAAACATTATATTCCCATTTCCTACATGGTGAAACATGATGAAACAAGACACAGAGAGGCTAAGCCACTAGCCTAAGTCTTGCAGTCAGTCAGGGGTCCAGCTAGGATTCAAGCTCAAACTGTCTGTCTCAGACTGTGCTCTTTCCAAATTAACCATGCTGCTTTTGGTTGGCCCCCACCCCCACCACCACTTTTTGTCTCTTCTTCTCCCCACAATAGCAGCTTCTGAAACAGGCTCAGAGGAGGCATCTCCCACAGGGATTCCAGGTTTGACATGGAGCCACAAATAAACTAGAGAAGCCCCAGCAGGTCCCAAAGTCCTGATTTTCTGTTCATTTCGCCTCCCTCTTTTGGGGCCCCCTCACCTTGATTTATGGAGCTGTGGAAGGACTCCTGGTAGGTGAGCTCAGAGTGGAAGCTTTGCTGGGAATGGTAGGACCCAGCACGGTAGGGGTGGGCATTCCCGCTGATCTTGGCCCACTTGTAGGAGAGAGGCGGGGTGCCCCCATTAGCAAAGCACTTCAGCACTACATCATTGCCATGTGCCATGTGGCCCTCAGACCAGCATACAGGCACTGCAGGTCGAGCTGCAGGAAAGCAGTCAATTGTGAGTGTGGCGCAGCCAAGAAGCAGAGCCAGGCTCAGAGTGGCCAAGCTACCCTAAGCCAGGCTCTGCAGTCTGTGGAAAGGGAGCCCGGAAGAGACTGGCCATACCTTGAACAGTGACAACAACCTTCCGGGTGGCCATGGTGGTCTTCTTTACTCGGCACTCGTAAGTAGCTGTGTCAGATACCTGCAGGTTCATGAGGTTGATGGAGGCGTCATACTGGCTGGGGTCTGAGGCTGCAAAGCGGACCCTCTGCTGCAAATGGGGGAGGTTGCCATGGTTGATCCTCTTGTCCTGGTAACTCAGGAACTGTGAAGAAGAGAAGAAAACAAAGGGGATGAGACAGGCAGAGCCAAGGAGGGCCATGTGGATTGGCTGCCTTGGGCAATTCATTCAACTTCTCTGAGACTCATTTTTCTCAGCTGAAAGTGGAAATAATGATGCTTGGTCCTCTGACTTCCTACAAAATGGGTGGGGCCAGGTAAAATCTAGTACTTTGCAAACTGTAAGTTCAGGCTGAGAACTTCTTAAAGCCAGGTACCATACCCTTTGGAGTGATTGCAAAGCTATCATTCATGCTGTCCCATTCCACGAGA